AGAACAACAACAAAAACCAGATGCACTTGTCCTATATCCAAAACCTTGGGTAAATCCCTTTGCCTCTTAAGTTTCTTTTCTTTTTATTTTTTTATCCTCACCCGAGGACACTTTTTTGATATTTTGTTCAGATAGAGTGGGAGGGGTAGAGAGGGAGGGAGGGGGACGGGGAGAGAGAGAGAGAGAGAGAGAGAGAGAGAGAGAGAGAGATATCAACATGAAAGGGACACATCGAGTGGATGCCACCCACATGACCCAACCAGGGCTGGGGACAAAATGCAACAGAGGTATATGCCCTTAGCAGGAACCGAACCCAGGTATCTCCGGACTGCAGGCCGACGCTCTAACCGCTGAGCAAAACCGGCCAGAGCACCTCTTAAGTTTCTTATCTGTAAAATGAGGGGATTGATAGATTACTTACAAATTCTCCTGGTTTTTAACATCCCACACTTTGTTTAGGTTATCAATTAGATTCCTCCTTATATGCAAGATGGGAACAAGTATGACCACTTTCCAGGTGAAAAAAAACCAAACAGGAAATTTCAACCACTGCATATAGTAAAGTTGTACATAAGAGTGGAGCAAAAGGTAGTTCTCTAGCTTTGCAGTCTCCTTGTCTATAACCCAGCAGTCAAGCAGAAGTCTCTGAAACCCATTTAGATGAAGATGGTTAACGCACACCACTCTACTGAATGGCATTTACATCTAAGTCCAAGAAATTTAAAGAGGAATCCCTGTGTTGGGCAAAAATGCCACAAACATAAGTTACACTCTACCAGATGGTCTTTTTCTTCCCTCCATTACAATGTTTTAGCCCTGGCCGGTTTGGCTCAGCAGTTAGAGCGTTGGCCTGCAGACCAGAGTCCCAGGTCTGGTTCCTACTAAGGACACATACCTCAGTTGCAGCTTGTCCCTGGCCCCAGTTGGGGTGGTGTGGGTGGCGACCACTTGATGTGTTTCTCTCACATCCGTATTTCTCTCTCTCCCTATATAAGGATTAATGAAAAAATGTCCTCGGGTGAGGATTTAAAAAACAAGAATATGTTTTAAACTAGAAAGGTTTCTCAAAGTCAGGGTATAATCACTGTTTATATAACCCCCCTCCCTCCCCAATGCATAAAGTACATCAAGATATCTGTTCTTTTCTTCAAAAGCCCTCACCTATCTAGAACACTTTAGGACTCTGTTTCCTCCTTCCTTGTTGGGAAAGCTGGTGTATCATCTACCTCTTTTCAAAATAAGAAAGAGAGGATTTAATTTCAGTGTAACAAATGCTTAGAGCTATATAGTTGATAGGATAATCTAATTAGCCATTAAGTAAGATATACACTTACCTAAAAGTCACTAAATCAACAAATATCGACTACTAAGAGTTAAGAACAAAATCAAAAAAGCATTCTGAATAGATAAAACAGACATTTCAAAATCTATGCCCTCAAATTTACAATTCATTTGACTCTCACTCAAAGTCAATTTACTCATGTTAGAAATCATTCAAATGGGGAATAGGAGGAGAAAGAAAATATTAGAGGCAAAAGCCAGGGTCAATAGCAAGGGATAGCTGTTCTCAAAGAAACATGTTAACATCCAGCAATAAGGAAGTACCTTTCTAGTAATCTGAAGTTAACATAGGGTATTAGAAAGCTTCAGTACTTCTTCCTATTGTATTGAATTCCTTTTTCCCTTTAAAAATTATACAACATAGCCCTGGCTGGTTTGGCTCAGCGGTTGGAGAGTCAGCCTGCGGTCCAGAGAGACCCGGGTTCGGTTCCCGCTAAGGGCATGTACCTTGGTTGCAGTTTGTCCCTGGCCCTGGTTGGGTTGTGTGGATGGTGACCACTCGATGTGTCTCTCTCACATCAATATTTCTCTCTCTCCCACTCTATCTGACCAAAATATGGAAAAATGTCCTCCAGTGAGGATTAAAATACTACACACACACACACACACACACACACACACACACACACATAATATAGATTGTATGAAAGAAAAAATTGGTTGTTGCCAGAGGTGGGGTATGGGAGAAATAGGTGAAGGAGGTATAAATTTTTTTTAAAAAGAATCCAATATTGTCAGCAATAAAAAAAAAAAAAAATTAAAAGTCTGTGTTACAGATGTATAACTTAATTGAAGGGAATGGGGGAAATTTTACCTAAATAACTTAGGAAATGAGAAGAGAGTACAAGACTAAGGAATAAAGAATTACACATAAGCACTATATTGTAGTTAATCAAGTTTTTTCCCATGGAGTTCAGGCTAACAATTCTGATACCACTATAAGTTTATACTGGGATTGAGCAAATAAACAGCAAGTAGATGACGAATAGTGATAAAAGAGTAAAAAAAAAAAGTATACTATGAGCCCTTCTTTTGTGATGTACCAAAGACTAAAGAGAAAACAAGGTCTAGCTCTTTCTATATGGTCACATTCTGCTATATATTTTTTGTGTGTTTGTACTTAATCCTCCCTCTCTACTTGTAGTATTCCCTATTTAACCCACTGAATTAATTTGTACTCCCCTCCAAAACAACTACAAAACCAAAAGATTGGCTCTTCCAATGAAAACCCAGGCTTTCAGTAAAATTGCTTTAGCTAAGTTTATAGATTAATTCAGTTAGAAATGTTTTTCTTGGTTCTCTGCTATAATTATCCTCCCCAAAACAAGGAAAAACATTATATAATACATGTAATAGGAGAAAACTAAGAACACAAACCTATAGGTTTTATGTAAATATTCTGGTTTATATCCATAGTCACTCATTCATACACACACACACACATGCACACATTTATTCTCACATGAGAGAACACATTGTGCATACTATTTGACAATCAGCTTCAGGTATTTCTATAGATATGTATGCATAACACAATGATTGCATGATATCCTATTTATATAGATATATTAATTTAATCAGTCTCTATAGCCAAATATTGTTATTTCCAATTTTTGGTAATTCTGCTTTATCTAATTTTAAAAAGGAGGGAGGGAGAGAGTTTATCTGCATGTATAAAATAACTATGTTATACAAACTATAGAAAACGAAGAAAAGTCACCCCAAACCTAACTACCCTACCGATACTAGTTTATTTTGTTCTGATATCTATTTAGTTTTTTTCCCCTAGGCATTCATTCAACCTTATTGAGCTCTTGCTATGTGCCAGGTTTTTGTTTAGGGTTTTCTTTACTTTTATTCCTGAATTAAAAAACAAAAGTATTTTTATTGATTTCAAAGAGAGGGAGGGAGAGGGAGAGAAAGAAATATCAATCAGCTGTCTTCTGCATGCCCCCTACTGGGGATCCAGCCCACAATCCATGTATGTACCCTCACCAGGAATTGAACCAGTGACCTCCTGGTGCATGGGTCAACACTGAGTCACACCAGCTGGGTTACACTGTATTTTTATTTTTTCTTTATTGATTTTAGAGAGAGAGGAAGGGAGAGGGAGAGAGAAACATCGATGAGTAAGAACATCGATTGGTCGCCTCCTACATGCTCCCCATTGGGGATTTGGCCCACAACCTGGGTATGTGCCCTGATCTGGAATCGAACCAATAACCTCTTGGTGCATGTGTCAATGCTCAACCACTGAGCTACACTGGCCAAGCTACACTGTATTTTTTAAAAATCCTCTCAAAGTATGGAATGAGCACATTACAAGTGTTCAATAAATACTGCAGATATCCAAATATCTGAGTTGATCCAATTCACGTCATTTCAGAGAAAGTCACTTTCCCTATGTCTTTTTTTTTTAATCCTCACCTGAGGACATTTTTCCATTTTTGTTCAGATAGAGTGGGAAGGAGAGAGAAAAAGAAACATCGATGTGAAAGAGACACATCGAGTGGCTGCCTCTTGCACAACCCCAACCAAGGCCAGGGACAAACTGCAACCGAGGTACATACCCTTGACCGGAATCAAACCTGCAACTCATTGGTCTGTGGGCCGACCCTCTACCAGCTGAGCCAAACCAGTTAGGATAGTTTCTCTCTGTTTTATGTCTAGAAACAATTAGGTTCAAATATTAAACTTGTTTTCAAAGAGCAGGCATTATCAATACATAACATGTAATTTTTTTCTTTTTTTATTCTCATCCGAGGATATTTTCCCATTTTTGTTCAGGGTGGGAGGGGGAGGAAGAGAGAGAGAAACATCGACGTGAAAGGGACACATAGAATGGCCGCCTCCAACATGACCCCAACCAGGGCTGGTTCAAACCACAACCGAGGCACGTGCCCTTAGCGGGAACCGAACCGGGGTCTCCCTGGACGCAGGCCAATGCTCTAACCGCTGGGCCAAACCAGCCAGGTCCAGATGTAATTTTTAAGGACCAATTACGTTAAGAGGAATACATGAGTAACAACACTTAGTAATTTTAAGACACACAGGTAACACTTAAGAACAGATGCTTTTGAATAATCTTAGGAGTCACAAGGCCCGTAGCTTAGAATTTAGCCATTTATTATGATTGTGACAACTTAACAAAGTGGGAGGGGGGATGTCAGTATAAATTGTTAATTATGTTTGAGTTAACGTGTTCTGTTTTCAAAACTGTTTTATAGAGTTTACTTTACAGTTTTAGAACTGATTTTGTTCATTGCTTCCTCTTTCCTTCTGATAATATTTCTGACTTGGTCCAGCTATCCAGAACTGCATACCAACTGTGCTGAGCTCTCGTGTATGTCATGCATGTGTAGGAACATGCATGCAGGCAAACAAGCACCATTTAATAAAATTTAACTTCTATATTCCACAGTAGGATACTACAGGGAATAAAATAAGGAGCTGGATTGTACAGCTATTCTGTAGCTCAAAAGTATTGCTTCTCAAAGGTTTCCACTGTAGTACCTATACAAAGAACACTTCCCACTACTAGGCATTCATGCCCCATTTTGTTGATGACCTGTGTAATTTTAGACAGTCATATAGAGTATACATTCTGTTCCTAAAATATATATTTGTTTCAATGTAAAAAAGTTTTTTAAATTACTTACCAGTTAAATTACTTAACTCACCGCCCCCTCAATGAGCACAACTGAAGCTTCAAGAAGATGGGTCATGCTTATCTTGTGGCTTCAAGTACCCCGGAATCATATCACTTTGTACCCTAAGGGTATTCATATCCCAGTTTGAGAAACAGGGATTAAAATAGCCACAACATTTAAAAGTGACCAACATGTTTCTACAACCCCATTTCCCAAAGTCTTTAGCGTTCCCTATAGCTTTTCAAATCAGTCTTGTTTTTCTTTTCAGCAGTTCATTGGTATGTACTTTGTATCAACACTTCTAAAAGAACCTGTAGAGCACAAGTTATTTTTGGAATGACAGAAAATCAGCACAAAAACCTTGTCCTTCTCATCTATGAAAGTACCAAGATGCCCACTTGAAAAACAGAGATCTGAAGAATAGTAGAGCTTTCACTCCTATTCCCTTCCTCCTCTCTATTTGCTTCAGGGATGGCTTTTAAGAAAAATCTTAGTAGTCACTTGGATGGTTTATTCATATAAGCTTATCTAATCTCAGCATTTGTAACTCCCACCTCTACACTCTTTTACCATTACACAAGTTCAATTAAACAATTTTCACATTTTCTAGGGGATAAGAAAAAAGTGCCTTCTGGTAGCCTGAGAAGATATCATTTTCGCACTAAGAACCCTAACTTTGTTGTTTATGAGATCCAAAGCCTGGTAGACCCTGACATTTATGAGAAGCCTGTTTCAAGTTCCCTATGATGTCCATCATATTTTATAGCAGAAACTGTATGCCACAGTAAATTTTAAGTGGCTCTTTCAAATGTTAAAAAAACATACTGATAATGACTATAACTAACACTGATACAAACATGGGTCATTAGCTAGGCTAACTCAATTAAGACCACTTTTATCCAGGATAGCAGATTTCCCAAGAACAGGATTCCATCTGTTTGTTCCTCTTCAAAATTACCAATCTCCACAATGGACTTTTGAGATCATTTGCCAAGAGCCAAATTATACATCCCAAAAGTTTTTACAGCAAAGCAGCCACCATTTTCCTGGGGTTTTTCTATGTACTGGCCCAAAATGGTACTTAATGCTTTATCCACATTCTCAACTTGGAGAATAACCTCTGCAACTAATGTTATTCTCTCACAAATGAGGGCTGTCGGAATAGAAAGATTAAGTAACTTGCTGAATGTCATCCAACTCATATATGGTAGTGCAGTTTCAAACTGAGGACTCTGACCATAAAAGCCTGTATGCCCTTAACCACCCACCCTCTTGAATCTCCTATACCCAAGAATGGTCCAGCAAACCCTCCAATATAACTCCTGTTTTTAAGACCAAGGAATGGAAGTATTTACCTCTCCGTGGTTGCAAAGTCAGTTTGAAAAGGAAAAACAGAATCTAGCTCTCAAGCAGTCGGTCCACTAGCGCATCTTGTTCTTTGGCCCCAGGTCCGTGACCATTCTAAAATAGAAGTACAAATCATTTTATGAACACTAAATATACACAAATGCACATATAGTATAAAAAACAGAGGGCAAGACGAAGACTGACAAAATTTAGAAAGAAATAAAATATATCATCTTATTAATTGGGTCATTCCATAAATATATATCAAGCCAATAATAAAGCAGTTATTTTTTTTTAGACATTTGCTAAATAGATAGAGAACTAAAGATTTGTGATGATCAAAACAGCACTCTACTGAGACCTTGCAACCAAAAACCGGCACATGTATATATAGCCACACTACCAAAAAATTAATTCCTATAGGTGCAGTAATAGTCCTTTAACAGTTTATTTCCTTATCTTTAGCAAGTAGTGGTTTACGGATTAAGTTAGTTACACCATGAACAAAGGCTATTTTTCAGTTTAATAAGATAACTAACTATGGGGGGTAGCTTTCACTGACCACTGAAAATCTTAGAAGCACAGCACTGAGATACTTTTTAATCAAATAGTTAAATACCTTTTTTAGTAAAAACAAACACACAATTTTCTCCCTAAATTACAAATAAATGAACTGTCAAGCTTCAGGCAATGGTAGAGTAGAACTTATCTCCAGGATGGGGGTGGGGGGAGCAACTCCTAAATGAAATGAAAAGAGCTAAATTTGAATTAAAAGTGTTCAAAGAATTTAGCATAAGAGGTGTAACTAAGAGGGAATCCAACTCATAATTTAATTAGAGCCCACAAAACTAGGCTAATATAATACTTTCTTTTTTTAAACAGACTTTATTTTTAAAATTTTTTATTTTTATTGATTTTAGAGACAGAAGGGAGAGGGAGAAAGAGAGAGAAACATTGGAGAGAGAGAACACCGACTGACGGCCTCCTACATGCCCTCCACTGGGGATTTGGTCCACAACCTAGGCATGTGCCCTGACCAGGAATCAAGCCAGCAACATCTTGGTTCATGGGTCAGCACTCAACCACTGAGCCACACTGGTGGGGCTGATATAATACTTTCTTAAATGGAGCTAAAGAAAAGCCTTTCTGTTGAAAGGCAATTTATTTATTTATTTATTTATTTTCTTAACTGATTTTTAAAGACAGAGGAAGGGGGAGAGAGAGGGAGGGAGGGAGAGAGAGAGAGAGAGAGAGAGAGAGAGAGAGAGAGAGAGAAAGAAACATCGATTGGTCGCCTCCTGCTCACCCCATACTGGCGATGGATCAGTGCCCTGACTGGGAACTGAACCAGCCACCTCTTGGTGCATGGGTCAATGCTCCATCACTGAGCCACACTGGCCGGACGAGAGGCAATTTATAACAGAGAGGACCAGAGTATCTAGTTCAAAGAAACTTTTATATTGCAGTCCATATACTGTCAAAGAGAATGAGAATGTATGCCCCTGAAAATTCTAAGGGTAACTAAAAATGAGGATCAAGTGTGGGGAAAAAAATCACTATTCTTGAGGTGTACGTTAGCAGTCTTTATGCAATGTCACATCTTTGCATCCTAACACTAATCCATTGAGAAGATGCACAAAGATACTGTAAGACCTGAATATAATGACTAGAGAAAGTTTAGGAATGTTTAAAAAAACATGGTATGCCAAATCTACATACATAATTATGAACTACGGTCTTCAAAGTTATTATATTACTTGCCATCATTATTCTTTCTAAACCTGTATGCTCTTTCTCAAATACTAACAATTATGACAATTCTTGGTTGTTTGAAGAGGGACCTAATTTTTGGCAAAAGAGCCTGAAGTCATCTGGAACCAAGATAGGTAAATAAGGTAGATAGATGGTCAACTAGGTTTCTGGTTTAAAAAAAAATTAAATGGAGCATATAAAGTAGATGATGTGGAGTGAATTTAATGTCAGCAGCATCCCTGAAGCTAAAAATCAGTCTCTAGAGGTGATTTTCTATCAGCAGGCACTATGGTACAATGCTTGCCACAGGACTCCTCCTTAGGGCATATCAGCCACAGGTGGCCTCCACCACTCCCAAGGAACTCCCCAGGCCACCCAGAGGTCTTAGGTGGGTGCCCTTATTTTTGTGTGTTCTTTAAAGCAAAACCCTAAAGACCTTAGAATTTTAACGCATCTTAAGGATAACTTTTACAGCTCCTAAATTTTTTTTTTAAACCCTCACCCAAGGATATTTTTCCATTTATCTTTAGACAGAGTGGGAGGGAGGGAGGGAGGGAAGAGAGAGAGACAGAGACAGAGACATAGATGTGAGAGAAACACAGGGACTGGCTACCTCCCACACCACCGCGACCAGAGCTGGGACCATACTGCAACTGAGGTATGTGCCCTTGACCAGAATTGAACTGGAGACTCTTTGGTCCTCAGGCCAACGTTCTAACCACTGACCCAAACCGGCCAGGGCCAGCTCCTAAATTTTATGCTGGTTGAACAAATCCCTAAGATAACTTTTACAACTACTCTTAAATAAGCAGCCTTTTCTTATGGGGACGAACAGTTCTGTTGTAATCTTCCTCATATTACTGATTTAAGTAATAAGTTCCTTTAGGTAACCTTATAATCCTCAATTTATTCTCTTTGTAGATATAGCTTTCCAATAAAAACAAAGTATGAATCCTGGTCTACAGGAAATCTCAAAGGATAGCAACTCTGTAGATAAGGTTTATACCATTAAAACAACATAAATGATGTACCAGACTTAGAAGTTAATGACTGCATATGGCACAACTGAATCAAGAAGCAAAATATGTTATGTGGAGCACAATGCTAACCTGGGGAAACAAGCATTACTCTTCATTCAATTGCAGAACTGCTGGATTTTAATTTTTAACCCCAGTGGAGCTTATCTAATAAGTGAAACATGCCACCTGCCATCTAGAATTTCAAAAGGAAAATAATGCTGAAGATCACAAGAATGCAAAAAACTACACAAATGGACTAAGATAATTAAGTGTGCTTCTATTCCCAAACTTGACACCCATCAATGCTAATGCATTTAGTTACTTAGTGCAATTTTACTGTGGAGGAGGGGGAGAAGGAACATTTTGTAGGATTCAAAAAGGGATGTTCAAATACTCTCTTATGGAGGCAGACTGCTGCAAAACCCTACAGATTGAGATTACACACAGTGGACTGACAAATTTGCTTAGCATCAAGATGTTTTAATTTCCTCATAAATTTAATGTAACTTTTCTTAAAAAAAAAAAAAAAAAAATCAAGACTTTCTTCTCTTCAAAACAGCCAGAGTTGTTACATTAACTGCCAGCCCATACTATATTAAGGCACTAAAATATTTGAGAAAAGAGCAAAAAGACAATTCAACAGTAAGCTTTTAAACGATGCAAGAAGGCTTAAGGACAGAGTAAATTTAATTTACGTGCCCCGTTTGACTTGTTTTGTAGCCTATAAAGTACGTGGAATTAACTTTACTAGCTGATCTAAACTCGAAGAAAGCATGAAGATTACGTACGCAAATGTTTACTTAATTCTGAACTCCAGGCTACCGGAAGTCTGCTACTAAAGACTAGTTACATTAGTCGTAGATATTTATAAACCAACTGCAGCTAGTGACCCAAGATTCAATTACAACATCAACCCTCCGATTTCTTCGTATGGGCATATTACCAGTGGAGTCAAGAATAAATTCATTCTGTCCTACTGGAGCTTTGGGTCAGGTTGCCAAATCCCGAAGAACTGCTTTCGCCCAGTACTTGAACATCAGGTATTAAATACTGCATTAAGTTAGTGTCAGGACATTTTACAGCACGAGGGAAACTCAAGGGTTGCCTGCCCAACTTGGCTAGTCCATAATCCAGTTCAGGAATTTGTCATGTCACTTGAGATCAGTATGAAATTAAGTTGTGATCCCTTTGAGATCTCTCAGCGCACAAAGTCAGGCTATTACTGCAAGGAGAGTCCGACCCTGGCTCTAGAAAAACTACTTGTTGCAGAACTCATGTCCTTTCCGCCCACTGTAGGGGATCACATCGATAGCGTTCGGCACAGAGCCCCGGCGCTAGTTTAGGGGCGCAGCGGGGCCCGGCGGGGGCGGCGAGCGCGCGTCCCCCCGCCCGCTCAGGCGGCGTCCAGGCGCGAGCAGCTCAGCCAGCCTTGCAGAGGGAGCTCTCGGCAGCTCTGGGGTCCCTCTGCTCGCAGCAGCGCCGCCTGCGCCACTCGGTGGAGACGGAGACTAGCGGCGGCGACGCGCGGACTGGGAGCGACCGCCGAGCTGCCTCGCAGGGCGGCCGGGTAGGTTCCGGGGACCGGGCGGGCTGGAGGATGGGCAGCCTGAGAGGCGTTGGCTAGGGCCCGACACCCATAGTGCACGGAAACCCGGCTGCGCGAGCGGCGGCAGAGAGTCCGGACCCTTGAGGAGAGCGGGCGCGGAAGGCGAGGCGCGGAGATCGCCTGTCGGCTTAGGCTACCGCCTCGGGAGGGGCAGGGAGCGGGCCGCAACCGAGCGATCGGTCCAGCCAAGAGCCGGTCTCGAGGGCACAGACAAAGGAAGAAAAATGGAGTCGCCGGAGCGCGGGCCTCTGTCGCCGTCGCCGCCGAAGGCCTAGCGCGCCGCCAGGAGGGAGGCCTAGCGGGCGGGTGTGTGTTGGGGGGGCCGGCCGGGCCGTGGCGGCGACGGGCAATGGCGGCGGCCGCGCCGCAGCAGGGACGGTAGAGGGAGACAAACACCCCCCGGCGGCGGCGCTGGCGCCGGGCTGCAGCCAGCGCCGACCGGAGCGGCCCCATCGTGACACCTAGAGGCGGCCCGCGAAACCTCCTCCACCCGGGGCCCCCTTACCTCCGCGCCACACCCCCCGCAGCGCCCGCTCCGCCGCCGCTCCACTGCTCCGGCCACCTGGCGTCCCCGGCCAGCTCTGCGCACCCGCACCGGCTACCGCGCCGCCGCTGCCGCCAAAGAAGCAGCTCCGCGCACGGTTTAATCACTCCACAGGCTCGGACACAAAATGGCGGCGGCGTGGTGCAGTGCGCCTGCGTCGGCGCTGCCGGGGCCGCGGGTGCTGATAAGGGAAGGGACGTGTGTGTGTGGGGGGGGGGGGGCTAGCCAGGCGACGAGTGGAGGGCGGGGGAGGAAAGGTGAGGGGAGGGGTTGGCGCAGGGCAGCATGGGAGGCGGCTCCGGGCGCCAACTTTCAAAAGCGGGCGCGATGGCGTAACAGGACGCGTTGCGAGTCACGTCACGCCGCACGCGCCCTCCCGCGCTCTCGCCCGGTCGCGCGTGGGCTCTGCGGACGCCGGGAATTCCGGGCTCCCCTGGGTGGGGCTTTTTGGGTGGAGGTCGCCGCCTGTGGGCGGTCCGGGATCCCGAGTCCGCTTAACCTAGTTCCTTAGCTGCGGCCTCCCGCCCTGAACCCGTGAAGCGGGTGTAGGGTGTTTGGAGGAAACCTGTGCGGGGCTAGGTGGTGGAGCTGAGGCGTTTCTTGGGCCAGGCCCCGCCCCAGTCTCCACCCTAGCCTGGCCCGACTCGCCTTCTGAGCGCCGCACCGCATCCCACCGAGTACCGCCGGGCTGGTCCCCGCGCGTTCTCTTCTCAGAAACAATTCAGCGCCCGCGAGTGACAGCGAGAAGAGCTGTCTTTTCCCAGTGGCTTTTGGGAATGTTTCTGCCCTAGAAGTGGGCTGCTGCTTGTCCCCGGGCCACCTTGTCCCCAGACCAACTGAAGAACAGACTTGGTGCATTTATACGATCAAAGTAGTCGGCTTTTACCGAAAGGACTTTTTATATTTCAAAATGTGTATTTCTTGTGTCTGCCCTGAGGGCTGTTAAACTCTGTGGGCGGGAGGAGTCCTTCAGCCGCTCAGAGTGTGGTCGCCCTTCCCCCTCCCCAAGATGCACCTGCGGGTATGACCCAACCAGCGGTAAAGTTAACCGAAAAGACTGACTTGTATATTCTGATGGCTCCGCGAGGAGAGCCTTTGGTACTTTTAGGAATCTGACTCAGGATTGTATTCTCACCTCCCTTAGATGTGGATAACAAACGAACCTATAGTCAAGGGGACAGCTTCTTCATTTGTTCTGTTATGAGAATGCTGCCACAATAGTGACAGATCTCTGTGTGTGTGTTTTTAAGGGAATCAGAAATCTGGATTTTTTTTTAAAGTGTGAAATTTCCAGATATTTAGACGTTGGCAATTAAACCACGTGTTTTTAAACTGCATGAATTGATTAAACCAGACATGTGATTTAATCTGACTGAAAAAGAGAGAAGTTCCAGTGCCAAATACTAGCACTCCAGCATTTAGAGATGGGGTAATGGAGACTGAGAAGGAGCTGCGAGGAAGGTAGAAGGAAAGACACAGTGTTGAGTTGTGAAATCTAAGGGCAGAAAAGGTTTCAGGTAGGAGGGGAATGGGCAATTGTGTCTAGTGCTGCTGAGAGTTATACTTGGGCTAGAGATATTGTTTCAATTGGTCACCTTGGAGATCACTGGAAAATATCATTGGTGGCCTTGGCTTGATTCATGTTGATAAATCAGAAATGTGTACATGACTATAATGGGTTGAAGAGTGAATGATAAAATGAGGAAATAGAGACTGCACAAGTAGACAGCATGAGAAGTTTTGCTGTGAAAGGAGCAAAGAAATTTAGGGATAGCTAGAAGGATATGGGATCAAGAGAGATTGTTTGTTTTTATCTATTGATGAGAGAGAGAGAGAAACATCGATTTGTTGTTCCGCTTATTTATGTGGGTTTTTTTTTTTTATCCTCACCTGAGGACATTTTTCCATTTTTTGTACAGATAGAGTAGGCGGGAGAGAGAGAGAGAGAGAAACATCGACGTGAAAGGGACACATCGAGTGGCCGCCACCCACACGACCAACCAGGGCCGGGACAAACTGCAACCAATGTACGCGCCCTTAGTGGGAACTGAACCCAGGTCTCTCTGGACCGCAGGCCAGTGTTCTAACCGCTGAGCCAAACTGGCCAGGGCTATTATGTGTTCTTTAGTTGATTCTTTTATGTGCCCTGACCTGGGGTAGAACCCTAAACCTTGGCATATCTGGATGCTACTCTAACCAATTGAGCTATCCGGCCAGGGCAAGAGAGGAGATGTCTAAAAGATGGTAGGGATCTACAGCATGTGTTTGTGCCATTGGGAGTGATACAGAAGAGAGAAGGCTTACTTGACCTATTTAGGAGTGAAATCCATGGGAGGATATAAGGAAACTGGTAGGATTGACCTTGGATAGGAACAGGATGCTTCCATTGTGATAATCTGGGTAACTAAGGTGAAGATGATGCAAATGCAGGAGAGAGGGAAACAGCTTTCTTAGTAGGACTGCCTTGGCAGCACTGGGTACCCATTTGAAGTTTATGATCATGAGTTTAAAGTTAAATCAGTTGGCCTAATGTGTGGTTTTTCTCCAGCAATATTCAGCTGCTTGGGTTTAAACATAAAGAGGGATAATTTGGTTTCTCAACACTAGGACCCAAATGTTCTGAGTCCTCATCTTAAGCAGTTGCCTTATGTGATTAGCTACTCTTCTAGAAATGTTTGAAAATTGTGAAAATTTACATGTGACCCCTTTTCTAGGAACCAAGTGACTCTCTCTCTTATGTACGCACCTCAAGACTCAAACATAAAGAAAAGGCAAACTTAGAGGAAAATTACCTCTGGAATATTTGCGTTTTCTTCAGCCCTCTACCCCAAACAGCTCCTGGTAGCCTTAGGAACTATGTACTAGAAACAACAAAGTTGACTTGCACTTAAATTGTTAGCTTATTTTTCTTTCTAGTACATTTAATAATGTCATTAATTCACTTTCTCAGATTTTACTTCAA